ATCGGCTCTAGCACTGGCCTACTCGTTAGGTCATGTGCTAGAGCAGTGCAAGCCTATCTGAACGCGGCGGTCCTGGTGGCGGGGATCTGCTCCAGTTGGAGCCAGAATTGACTGGCGTTGGCGGCGGTGGCTCCTTCGGCAGGTTGACCGGGGTAGGGGGCGGCGGCCCCTTGGGTGGTCCGGCTGACCCCGAAGCCATCGCCGTGTCGCTTGGCTCGCTGCTTGTGTCTTCCCAGATCCGTCGTCGCGTGCTCGGGCTCGTAGATGTGTCTGAGTCCACCGAACTCTTGGCCTTCGCCTTGGGGTCCCTGCCCGACTTTGCCACCGATCGAACCTTAGGCACTGAGCCTCGACGGCCTGGCGGCATGTCCGCTCCCTATCGAAGCTTCCTTGCAGGGCTCGAGCCTGGTGACTGCTCACAGGATTGTGTGCTGCACTGCCCGGCACACTGGCAAAACTTTGCTGAGGGCTCGGCCAGTAGTCGAGGCAAATCGTGAGCACGCACTGCCGCGTGTACACAGGGTCTCGAGCCAGGCTGGGTAGTGCCAGGTAGGAGGCCAGGGCAAGGAGAAGGAATTGAACAGGACGCTTGTACGCAGTGGGGTGATGGTGGCACCCTAAGATTCGTGCTCCATCATGCGCCCTACAGACAGGTTGCCTTGGTGACCCGAGACCTTCTAGGAGATCATACGCTTCGCTAGAATCGGCCCCGGGTTTGCACATCATCAAGAAACTCTCAAGCTGGAGCCCAGGGGCTTAGTAGCAGTAGCAGTAGCAGTAGCAGTAGCAGTAGCAGCAGTAGCAGCTGTAGCAGTAGCAGTACTTTAGCAGTAGCAGTAGCAGTAGCAGTAGCAGTAGCAGTAGCAGTAGCAGTAGCAGTAGCAGTGGCAGTGGCAGTGGCAGTTGCAGCAGCAGCGGCAGCGGTAGCGGTTGCAGTAGCAGTAGCAGTAGCAGTAGCAGGAGGAGGAGGATGAGGGGAGTAGTCGTGAAAAAAAATAACAATCGTGATGGTAGTGGTTGTAGTGGTGCTGGTGGCGAGTATGAGTAGTAGTAGTAGTAGTAGTAGTAGTAGTAGTAGTAGTAGACGTAAAAGTAGAAGTAGAGGCAGAAGAAGCAACAATATTGGTGGCAATGGTTGTAGTGGTGGTGGTGGTGGTGGTGGTCGCGGCAGTGGTGGTGAATACGAGTAGTAGTAGTAGGAGTAGTAGTAGTAGTAGTAGTAGTAGTAGCAGTAGTAGTGGTAGTAGTAGTAGCCGGAGGAGTAGTAGTAGTAGTAGTAGCAGTAGTAGTGGTAGTGGTAGTGGTAGTGGTAGTGGTAGTGGTAGTGGTAGTGGTAGTGGTAGTGGTAGCGGTAGCAGTAGTAATAGTAATAGTAGTAGTAGTAGTAGTAGTAGTAGTAGTAGTAGTAGTGGCAGTAGTACTAGTAGTAGGTAGTAGGTAGTAGGTAGCAGTAGTAGGTAGTAGGTAGTAGGTAGTAGGTAGTAGGTAGTAGGTAGGTAGTAGGTAGTAGTATTTAGTGGTAGGTAAGTAGTGGTAGGTAGTGGTAGGGCGTTGTAGGTAGTAGTATTTAGTGGTAGGTAAGTAGT